ACCTTGCTCGTGTGGTTGTGGGTTTGAATCCCATCAAGGTTGTTGTGTTTCAAAATTAGGTTAATAAATTATTTCGGGCTGCCATCAAAACCTCTGACGATGGACTCCTGTTCGAGTCTGAAAGCGCAGGACAATAAACAAAGTGTTCCCGTGCTCGACTATTTTTCTTCACTTAAAATAGCTTAATTTGTTTGCCTTATCTGATGACCTTACTGACCGTAAAATAGCGAATAGTTGGACAAGAAAGCTGGTAGGAAACATGCGAGCAGATTAAATGCTTTTTCAGTAATACTTTAACATAGTAGTGAAAATGCGATTCCCAGGCGGCATATCAAAAGGAAAAGAGGCGTTCACCGGGAGGGATTTATTGGAGGTCCGACGTTTCGAGTAGTTGATTCTTCCACCCATCTTCAGATACTGGAAAGTCTTGTTCACAGCTCCCCTTATATGGCGCAGAACTTTTTATTCTCTGAATATGGGTGAATGAATCAACTACTCGAAACGTCGAACCTCCAATAAACCCCTCCCGGTGAACGCCTCTTCCACTTCAACATAGCATAAGCTGATTTACGCCATATTTTAAAAAAAGCTACTAATGCCTAAGTTAGGGATGCAACGTTTCTAGTAGAGTAAAAGTGTTTTTGTTGGTTTTGTAAACTCTCAGATACCGGTAGATGGAACGGCCACGAACGGGAAATTACGATAAAATGCAGCCCTTTTGTTTCACGATCCTGACGTCAGTGGCCCTCATCAAACTGAAAAGAGTCCAGTCATAGGGTAACAATCGCCGAAAACGTTTCAAGCAACAAGCAACTTGTTAAAAATATTGAACAACTCGTAAAACTGCGTATTCCGCATGAACTAAAAGCCTAATTCTGAGATAATATAAGCTACATATGCCCATCTCGGTCCCAAGAAATACGCAGCATATAAAAATAAGAAACTGACAATTTTGTTGACGGATCCACTTGATCGAGAATAGAATGTTATCCAAATCAAAGACTCTATTCAATTTCATAGAATATGGCCACTGACCTTTGCTTGTTTTGTTTCTACCAACTTGCGACAGCACTTCGCCCTAGCATAGCACATTTTCATCGCAAGGGGCACATTCAGAAGCATGGGCAAAGAGTTGGGAACTTGCAGTACAGTGGAGTGCACTTTTTCTGAAGCTATGCGGAAGTCTCCAAATTTATAAAATGGTCACAAGTTTCTCAATTCTGCTAAGCCGGAAAGATTCAGTAAAGCGGACTTCTCATCGCTTAAACATTTTAAATAGAAATACGAGGCAGAAACTTTTCTAACAGCTTTGAAATGATATTTGCGTACGAAACTGTTCAATAGAGTATGGGTTATCAAGAGAATTTTCCAGATACAAATTACGGGAAATGCTTGAGTGGAAATCTTTAGCGCCACAAAACTTGATTTCATGTTTGGTGCAGTAAACAGCAAAGTAGTATTTATGGATTCACCGCATCTGGATGTGTTTGGTAGATACGTAAAAGTCGCAACATACTACAATCTTTCATCCCTGAATGAGAAGTGTAATTTCGCAAATTAAACGTTTATTAGTCCAAGGTTCTTCTAAGTCGACATCGTACTCCAGTCACTGAGAGATATATTTTCCTAATAGTCTCAAAAGCAATATTCTGAAAGTTTTGTAATGAAAGGTCATTAGGCAGTGCTATTTATGATTGAATGCATGCAACACATGATATTTCAGTACTAGTCAATACAATAAAAGAATGGCTATTTTTGAGCGCATTTTACTTATATCCCTCTTGCTTTGCCCTGCAAAACCAACTGCCTCCCAATATGATGGTTTGGTTGGAAAAATCGAAATGTTTTTTGTTTGGTTTATCCTCCAATAGCTTACCGTCCGTTATCAAACAGTATGACGTTTACTTTGGCTAAAATATTCCCAGAGATACAAAATATCGCAAACACCTCCCCATACAAAATATGTGCGTTGCTTATGACAACCAAGAATGTGGATAACGGGTGACCATTTATTATAATCTGAAGTATTTATAGTCATGACGTAACTTGGCGCAGATGGTTAAAAACGTCGTTTCTTAAAGATTAAGCAGCCATAATCTTGTCGCCGGTTGATCCTGAAAAAATGTTAATCTAAAACATTCGTTTCTTCCTCCTTAATAATTTGTTTAGCTAATTTCATATTTAACTATGTCAAAAGGCTTGTCCGGTGAGCTCACTTAGAAATCCTTTTTTAAATTGCGAGCAAAGAAGCAGTAATAGTTCATTGAAAAACGAATATGCAAGTGTATTGTTTAGTATCAGGAAACCTCAATGGCCGGCGTCAAACCTCAGGCGGGCTTTCATGTGCACATTTCCGTTTCAAACAAATCTGAAGCATCATATTTAGAGCTTTAGCAGCAAAATGCAGGAAATGGCACCACCCCCTGTAAAGCAGGTAGCCTAACGCCAGGAAAGGGTGCGTATTTCCGTGTCCTAATAATAACTTTACCACTTACTCTAACCCGAGCGTTAACCTTAACTCTCGATTGATCTATAACCCTATTCCTGCTGGAATTTTGCTTAAGCCGCCTGTATTACGGGGCCAAAGTTCCAATTCCAGTGTCATACTGTTTTGGCCTAAAAGAGTTTTGGCCTTTTTAGGGTACGATAAAATTAGCAAATAAATTAAGATAACGAAAACTTTTTGCAATACATGTAGATAAAAAAGACGAAGAGGCGATCTCTGGAACGGTGGTTGTATTGTATATATATATATATATATATATATATATATATATATATATATATTGGAAGATGGGCATCCCAAGAAACATAATTCGAAGAAGAATGAGCAGCTCGCTAAGAGTGCAACAGGCCAGACGCAGACAGCTGTTTCGCGGTCGTTACCGATCATCAGTACGTCATAGGCCTTATGAAGTGAGGCACATAAGCATGTCAAGTGGGCGTTTGACCCTCACTGTTGTGGTTAGGATCTCACTCGATCCCATTCTGTCCGCCCGCCAGCTTGCTACTGGCGACAACGAACGCTGTGTCAGAGGACACATACCACATATAATACATGAGCAGCTCGCTAAGAGTGCAACAGGCAACAACAATATATATGGGTAAAGATTCGAGGTCCAGATATTGTATCACTTTCATCATCCCCCGAAGAAGACGAAGAAGAAGATAGGGCGCATTCATGGACCGAGATATATTTTACTGACGTTTCGGAAACCCTCTCGTTTCCATCATCAGAGTAATGAGTTGACAGTTCCTGCTGGTCTTGATTGCGTCAGCCTTGATACCTGCCTGGTATTATATCCGTGCGCGAGGCACGAACTCTGACCTGCCCTTTCGCCGCCGATTAGCGTTGACCTCTCCACGATTGACCGCCGGTCGGCTCCTGCCAATAATGCCCCCTTTTCGGCCGTCGTAATTGTTGGTGAGCCAGCATGCTTGTCGGCCTCCCCCTCGTCACTCAACGGACTGATCAGTTGTTGGTGCTCATGTGATTTGATCTCAGCCTCGTGGGCGTCGCGGTGAGGTGGCGTCCCATGCTGGTCACATGACCCTCGGCCGGCTTCTCTCCTACTTGCTGCTGACATCGGCTGTCGGCCACGCGTCACTTTGCTCGACTGTCCTGATGGCCTTGTCCGCACTGATTCGAGCCTTGTGCGTAGCGCCTGATAGGCGGGATGCAGATCTATGGTTCTGCTGAGTGTGGCAGTCGAGGACCAACTTTCGAGCATCAGTCTGGCCATCTCATCATTGGCTCGGCCGATTACCCTTGCCTTTTCAAAGGCGAAATTGTGGTTCTGCTATTTGACGTGGCCATAAACTATAGACAACTTGTACATGCGGTTGATTGCAAGCTGGTGCTCATGCAATCTTGTGCCAAGACGTTTGCCCGTTTCACCAACATTCTTTGCGTCTCAGTTTTTGCATGGTATGCTGTAAACCACCCGCTACCGGTGACAGAACAATCCAGCAAATAATGAGGCCCAAAGACCCGCTACCGGTAACAGAACAATCCGAAAATGGGAGGAAGGAGGAGATTAAGTACTTGCACGCCCTATTTAAAGCCAACGGTTATCCCAAGTCCTTCATACGCAAGTGTCTTAAAAAGCCCTACCCTGAGCGGTCGGACAGAGAAAACCCGAAATTTTGGCTCGCAAGCCCTTATGTGAAGAACGTGTCAGAGGCGACGTCAAGAATCCTTAAGCCTTTCGGGATCGGAGTGGCTCACAAGCCAGAGTCATCAATCAGACAGCAAATAATGAGGCCCAAAGACCCGCTACAGGTGACAGAACAATCAGCGGCGCATGATAAAGGTAGACTGATATTACCGACAAAGACAAGGGAGACCGAAAGGCCATTTCTGGCTTATTTGCCGTCGTCCGCCAGTCATACCCAAGCCCGAAGTGTGGCACACTCAAGGCTCGAACTCGCGATCTGTTAGTTAGAAGTCCACGTCTCTAACCACTGGGTCACGAACCCGTTAACCTGTCGGTTTTCCATCGGGAATATACAATGTTTATATTATCGGGAGTAGGGTATAACCATCTGTCGTATGAAATCATGCTAGTAGTACTAGTTGTTTATAAGATGGACATTACGCTGTTGTTCCACAGTAGTTGGTTGTCCTCGACCTAAATGTTCATGGTCTGACCTAAAATGTCATGTCGCGGGCACTTTACTCCATGCCCCGCACTAAATGAGGTCTAAAATTAATGCTTCATATATGCCCATTTACAATACCGTTTTCGTTTGACCTTCTCTGGACAAATCGATCAGCTACAAATTTAAGTATTTTGCTCTCCACTAGCATGCGTACCTAACGTTCAGCCATTTTAGAGGTTGCCTCTAGATTTTTTAGCCATTACATCATTTCCAAATATGTCAAACGTTTTCGTTATCAATGCGGTTTCACCGCGTCTGAATTTTCTGCCTTAGTTTGCCTCCACCAGGCGACATAATAAGTGCAAAATCTGAGGACTGAGGTTGTTTTCGAGGCCTGCATGAGTCCTGATTTCGTCATTGTAGGTAAATCTACGGAAAACTACGGGGAACTTAATTTTATGTTAATTTAAAACTTCGTTGTGTACTCTGTACTTACACCTGTGCAACTCCCTAAAAGTGCTTGTTTTTGGTTGTCCGTTAACATGGTAAGACCACCGATCTCATGAGGAAATTTCCAAATATAAACGGATGGTGATTTGCATTAGATTACCCTTATAGGATAGTTCATTTTGCCTAAGTGAGAATCAGGCATGAATATGTGTGTAGTTTGTTGAATGTTTAGTCAGTACAGGAAACAGCTTAAGTGCTCAGTCAAATTAGAGCTAGTTTATCGTGTTTTATGACTTTAACGCATAGCACTGCTAAAAAATTTTGAGTATATCGATAATTTCTCCAAAATTGGAATCGCACGACCCTTACCTCATCATTTCTGTAACCGTAAAAGTATGTGATTTGTGTTCTTTCTAAACGTTTCTTTCACGATTTTCTTAAGTGCAGTTTCGAATTCTTAGACTGAGTTTCACTGAAATCACACTGCAAACTAAAGTCCGAAAATATGCAGAATAGCGGAACAAGGGCATTTTTGAAATACCTAGATTCAGCAAACCTGTACGACAAGGAAATGCTCTGATAATCTTTTTGCCCTTGCAATGAACGTACACAATTGCTTTATTCGTAACTTTTTGGTAAAACCATAGAAAAGAGTGTTCATTGGCTCGCAAAACTGAGGTTTCAACAGCATGGGAGCACCGAAGTTAGATGAAGAAGGAAAATTTTGGAATAAGTGACACATTACTAAGTTTTTGGCATTTTTCACATAAAGGTTTGCGAAGTTATGCGAAGTTAGGTCGTCTGTAAGAAGCAAAAACGTCTAGGTGTTGACCTCAAATAACTCAATATAGCGTTGACTTCACTTCGGTAAATATTATCCGTCCACAAGTTTTATCATGTGGCTTGATGAATGCCATTATCTTCAGCTTGAGTGTGCACAATTGGTTTTCTTTTTTCAGATAATTATCCAGGATGTCATGAAGCTGCTACACCGGGCTGAATTATATGTTTATGGTTGTACTGATATTGCTTTGATGAGGTCAATCAATACTGCTCCGTCTTCAAAAGCTAACTCTGAAAAACGATGAGACTCACTAGACTCATTTGATGACTAGATAAGTAGGAACCTCGTTCTGCATAATCAGACTAAAGTAAGCAGGGCGCATACATTGACAAAAAGGATACTCGATAGTTGAGACGTTAATTTTATTCGTCTGATGTTTGAGATTCAGACTTCAACCCATTATCAGAGATGGCAGCCAGTCACTGGACCCGTGGGGGCACAGTATCTACTGGATGCAGATCCTATGCAACCATATGCGGTATCCACATTCACCTCTCGCACACGAGTAACTGAATGCCTCAATTAAGTCCCCGGCGTTTTGATTGATGAGCTGATGTCTTAGCCATCTGGCACGTCAATATTCTCATTGGAAATGCTCTTCACCCACACAAACCCGCAGGTCATTGTGCTTGGACAACGGCTTAGAGACGAGTAAGGGGTACGACGACGACCATTACGCTTGCCTATGAACTGCGGGCCGGAGAGGCACGACTCAGAGAACTTGCGGGCCGCAAAGTTCGAACTTCGAACTTGTCGACTTTTGGTGTGTCAGCGAGCACGCATGAATTAGCAGCGAATTTAGGCCTGACGTCTCTCCTTCCACCACCACCACCACCACCACCACCACCACCACCACCACCACCACCACCACCACCACCACCACCACCACCTCCTCCTCCTCCTCCTCCTCCTCCTCCTACTACTACTACTACTACTACTACTACTACTACTAATACTACTACTACTACTACTACTACTACTACTATTACGACTCCCCTCTTCATCATCATCTTCATCATAATCGTCATCCTCCCCTCCATCCTTCCCCCTTCCCTCCTTCCCTTCCTCCTCCTCCTCCTCCTCCTCCTCCTCCTCCTCCTCCTTCTATACCACCCCTTATCCCCATCTTCCAACCTTTCTTCCTCCTCCTCCTCCTATTTCTGCTCCTGCTCAGGGTTACTACGTGTTTTCTCATCTGCGCAGTGAGAAAGTCTTACCTTTCCTTAGTCGTAAGTGTTTTGCTTGCAAGTGCACCGAATGCGGTAAATGATTTTCGACGTTTCCTGTCGTGGCAGCGAATCTCTCGGCTCAGTTGTTTGGCGTCTAATTTTGTTTCCGGTCTTTCTGCAACCCCTAAAACTGAGTGTCGCAGGACCTTGGCCAACAGCTTCCGCGACGTTCTTGAAATGACGGAAAACTCGTCAAGATTAGGGGCCGGAAGTGGTTTGATCTCCCATTTCGTTTTCGCGCGCACCGGTTGATGAATTGACGCAGGGACTAACCCCTGTTCGCAATTTAACCTCAAGTGAATAGAGTCGGTGCGTAATAGGCCTGCATGGAGTGACTTTACTCAAAGGGCTAGGACAGATATGAACTTTCTAAAAGATCGATGGTTTGCAAAACGTCTTGTCGTTCTGCGTTAAATGAAATTTCTCGAATGTTTGGTGGAATACATTGCAGACTAATTACTTTCAAATTATTTCAGGTATATTAATCGCAAAGAAACAAATTGTAATCAAAAATGTTTCAATGTTTTAATTTTTGGACTCTAGTAGGGCTTTCAGAATGTAATATTATAGATTACGGTTAGTTCGTTTAGACCGCCTGTCACATGCTTGGACGCAAGAATCTTTAAATCTTGATCCAGAGCCCTCTAACCCTAGCCCACTTGGGAGTTAGCTCAAGGCTACCTTTGGTATGGGAATACTTATTCCGTGCCTTGCTTATTCGACTAGCACTAGGACGTGTGAATTGTGCAGAAGCTGTTGAATGTAGGCGTCTACAATCCAATTAGAGCTCTTCACATACCCTGTTACTCTTTGAATGTGCCAGAATGTGGGCGAAGTTGTCAAAGTATGGGCATGCCAGTTGTTCAGGTGCCTTGGTCGGGAGCACAATGAAGTAAATGATCCTTCGAGGGCTCGCAGAATACTGCACAGAGGAGCTAGTTTGCTGGAATCAACGACCATAATTACATATTTTCGGCACACTGTTGAGCTGTTTTCCATCTCTTCCAGCCGAAAATAGCAAATTTGCAAGCAGAGAGCGCCATTCAAGCTGAACAACGATGAACAACACGGGGCTTGATAGGTCCACCAGTAACGGCTTACATGGAACTTGCAACGCTTAGTTTGCAAATAATGCCGTACACACATGCAACATCTACAACCAGAACAATGAACTCTAATGATATTTTTCATAGGACTTTACTGAAAAGTTCTCACGAAGTGCTGCGCCAGTGGTTGCAGTTAAAACAATCTCCAGCACTCTTTGTGCAGAGTTTTTTTCTTACTCTCGAATGCACCGTGAGGCTAGCAAAATTCGTCAGACTTTTATTCTAACTGACGCAAATAAGAATGAACTTGCATATTTGGCTTTGTCCCTGAGCATGGGTGACCAATCTGATTAAACGTTGACCGAAATTCCGAAATGCGTTTTCGATTAGTAAGGCTTACTTAGGTGGGGATGTAAGGTTGCTCCTCAAGCGACGCAATCCCATAGTATTTCGAACTCACCAAGATGTTGGCCTTTGAATGCAGTTCTTTTCGACCTCCTATGGAATCCACACTCGCAAAAATGACTACTAATGTGGCGTGTATTTTTCACATTGATTATCGGTGGTCATATAAATTCAAATATTTCTCGTGGAAAACGTGCACGAAAATGTGCTTTCTTTTACTTGTTTGGTAGGAAAAAGCATTGTCTTCATATTTAAAACTCGTAGAAAGTGTATACTTAGGTTTTACAAAAGTTCCTAATTATGAGATTTTTAAGACCGTGCGATGTCCGTTCATACAACATCGTACCTGTAAGCTCATTAATGCTCCTCGTAGAGTATGCAACATAATCTGTAGCCAGTGCAAAATTTCATGAATCCTTATGGTACCTGTTTAAAGGCCTAGAGGAATTTATGATTTTCCTTACGCAAGAGCGTGCACCTTATAGACTTAAATCGCTAAAAACTAATGCAACGGGTGTTCGGCCCCAAAATAATTGGGGAAATGAGAAACTAAATATCCACTTTCTTCGGGTAAAAATATACAGACAATGTTATTTTCTACCAAACAAGTAAAAGAAAGCATATTTTTGCATGTTTTCCACAAAAAATATTTGAATTTATAAGACCACCGATAATCAGTGTGCAAACTATATGCCACAGTAGTAGTCATTTTTTACCGAGTGTGGATTCCATAGGAGGTCGGAAAAAGTGCATTCTAAGACCAACATTTTCGCGGGTCCGAAATACTATGGGATTGCGTCGCTTGATGAGCAACCTTAAAACCCCACCGTCAGACGCCACCATCGACAGACTCCCACAAGATAAAATATACAATGACCTGCACATCTCACATTCTTTGTCAGAAACCAATGGCGCCTTGCAAAAACTCTCCAGTTACAAATCACTACGATCAGAAACGATCCCGGTTAAAGTCTACCAGCACGGCGGCTCGCGGATGCGGGAGACACTTACAGCGATGTTACTGGATAGCTGGCGCCAAGGACAAGTTCCCCAGGAGTTCAACGACGCAACTATTGTCCATCTCTCTTTAAACGGAAAGGTAACCGGCAGCTTCAGGATAGCCCGAGAGGAGTCTCGCTGTTCATCATCGCTGAATGGTATTCGCTGACGCCAAACCCAATCGTCTCGACGAATATCCAGTAACGTTGCCAGAACTAGCAGCATCATCGACATTTTGAACGTTATGACCGGCGATGTCCATCAGGGTTAGTGTTGAGGTAGAGGCTTGCGCGCGATTTCTTCTATAACGATGGTATACTTTTGTTGCATCTACCTCATCCTGCACTCTGTCCCCTTTGTCGGATGTCAGGACAGAGTCAAGAAGACTGCAGGAGAAAGGCCCGGCACAGAGAAAATCCGCACCATCAGGCCCTCTGGTCCACAAGGTACACTGATCAGGATTTTACGCAACATGAAAAAAGAGGACGCCTTGGATCCGACCAGGAGCAGCGTGTCGCCACACCCTCAATGCTGGCATTGTGACCGGTCCATCGGTGCCTGAAATCGGACGAACACCCACCGCCACTGACTCAACTGCCCGAATTCTCCGCGCAAATTCGGCCATCGCATGTACCTCCTCGGTCAAGCGCGTTTCCAGTAAACCATTGCAGACGAAACCCCAATATAAAATCCATCACACACAAACCCGCCCCACATCATTCACCGTAGGCGCAGAACAAGCATCTATCACGTAGACGAGAAGCGTGATTTTGGCCCCTCTGTTGCATGTGAGATCCGGTCAATCTGGCTCCTATGTGTGAAACCCAAGTGTGTTTTGCAGTGACCAGGTCGCGTTTGTGGGACTTTCAGATGGTCCGTTTAGAGCTCCGTCACCCGCTGCACCCAATCTGAAGATCAGTTGGTTGACCGGTTCTAGCAACCAACGGGTGTCCGAGAGAGGGAACAGAGAGACTGGTCGACGACTCAGCCCACTTACCTCACTATAAACGATCTGTCAAACTTGATTTCTTCACAGCGCGCTAGAAATTGTGGTTTGGAAGGCTACTAGCTGGCGACTTCAAATCATACCACGGAGTCAGCCCGGTGTATGTTTGTGTGTGGAATAACCGACTAGTGGATTGAGAATGATGTTTTAATGGCTCCTTCTTAATGTGGTCTCTATGGCACTCTCATACATGTGAAATCCCAGCCGCCTATCTACTTTGTGTGAAATCCTGGTGTGTCTTGTATGAAAGGGCAGGTTGTGTGTATGTGTGATCTCTGGCACTCTCACGCATGTGGGTAGTGCACACGTATATAAGTAGTGATGATTAATGACTAGTTATTAAACCTTTGAAGAATGATGACCAAGGCATCCTCATTTTTCTGGCCCGGTGCTTTGCTGATGTTGGTTAAAAGCCTGGTCAAGTGTTTGTGGTGGACTAGGAGGAGTGGAGGTTTCAGCCTAGGTGCGGGTCCGGCCGCGCCATCCACCTGCGCCTTTCTCCGCCTCCGATCTTCTTGACTTTGTCTTGAAACGGGGTCCAGGTGGGGGAAAAGGAGAGAGTGCGGTAGATGCTGTGCAAGTCTACTATCACTATAAACTATTTTTTTGCACAAGTCTCCGTCTCTGCTCCCACCCTGCTGTGGAGCATACGGTGGACATCGTCGAACTCGACGGTCGAACTATCGTGAGTGTGTGCGTATGTATTCGTGACACCCACAGATGAGCTCTCTAGCTTTGTCATCCAGTGCGCTCAATCTCTGCATCAGATAACGGGTCGACTAGTACAGAGGATTGTTGTCGGAGGAGGGTAGAGGTCAAATGTACCACCGATTTAAACGAAGTTGCACATAAGTCGCCATTCCTACTCCCACCCACATGGTGGACGTCGTCAGAATTGACGGTCGAATTGTCGTAATCAACAGTCTACGGAGTTTGTCTTATATCCGACTCATGGTAGTTCATGCCTGAAGACCAGGGGAGGTTTGATTTGGATGCACTTGGGACCTATAGAAAAGTACCTTTGGCTGAAAAACTTGTCCCTTGCAACTGTGCACCCTCTGGTATAGCCAGGTATATTTTAGTCATGATTTCTGTCTTTGGCCGGGATGAATGACCTAAGAAATAAGTGCTTGCAGAGAATCCTAGCAAATAACTACACACTCTCTAGAGAAATTACCACTGAGTTGTTTTAGTTCAGACATTTCGTGAACCATTCGCAGTTACTGTAAGATCCAAGAGTTATGCGTTGATAATGTAGGAAAGTTATGTAGTCTTCAATTTTGGTTGCTTCAGCTCAAAACAAGATATAGCTGTTCAAAAACTGGCAACGAAAAGCCCAAAATGACAGGAATTAAACCCTGTTTGCCTTTTGAATAGGCTAAAGCATATAACATCTCATTAGTGCCAAGTATTCTTTGCTGACTGTCTACAAGGCAGTTGGGATGTGTTATATAGAAAACATGTCTTGAAGTTACTGGAATGCAGTAGGGTGCGCGCAAGTGACATCTACATGGGGTTTCT